GAAATCTTTGGTATCCTACAATTACGTCCAATTTGTCAATTTGATTGGAATTTTTTTTTTTTTTGGACATTTGTATAATCAATTATTATGAATTACGCTCCACTGAATGAGGAATTCACTAAGAATTAAACTCTGAATTCCATTTTTTAAAATAAATACGAACATGACAAGGCGTTGAATTTTATCTAATTTTATTTTTCATTAAAATGTTTCACAAGAAATTTCAACTTTCAAAATTTATAATCTTTAATTTATAATTTATAATTTTTTATTTCATTTGATAAATCAATTGATTCAATTGATGAATCTCATGTCATTAGCAACGAATGATGAGGATGTAATGGCTATTGGAGTGCGAAAAATATTACCGAGCGATAGATGAAGGACTTCGGTCTCTTTCTACTACTCAAGTCAGTTTAAGTCGATGTAATGATGAGCGGGTGTGTAACAGTTGGTAGAAAATCTGTCGCGACAATCTCGCTCTTGGGAATTGTATCAATCTGTCAACGTAGGTGTCATTCGGACAAAGTGAGATGGAAAAAGGTAGAGGGCCAGGCAAACACTGGGATTTTTCATGATCGAAATTTCTATCTGACGGGTCAATCTCTCGAATGCACAATAAGGGCCCGTGGCTCTTCCATTACTTCCATATCATTTCGCACCCCTGGAAAATGTGCTGAGGCAAGAGTGCCATATGGCCTAGGGACGGAGGAAGAGAAAGCGCAACAAAAAATAATATAAAAATGGATAAAATGTGAGATATCCAGTCAATGAATTCACGCTACTTCTGGCCAGTCCACCCTGCCAACGAGTTTATCTTCGTGTTCATCTTTTCGGTTATTAAATTACCAGCCCATAAATAACGGGGAGCAAAATGGAGTGATTATTATTCGTCAAGTGGAGTCTTCTGGAATTGATTCATGAAGTTGACGTTTCACTCCTGAAAATTGGGTCCATTTCTTGTTCCTATTGCACTCAATAATATTTCACGGTTTCGATTTTCTGACATTTCTCGTAATAATTTCCTTTATCCAATCATTTTTTCCCATTCATCTGGAAAACTCGAAGACAACTCGAATAAAAAAATGAATTAAAAATGAATTTAAAAAATTGAAAATTAAATTTAATCAAAGTCTTGATAAATTGCATTACGAAAAGTTCTCCAAAATGGAAATAAAAATAAAAAACAATACCGTAAAATAAATTCTGCTGTAACTCCAATTAATTGAAAATTCTATGATATATAGCGAGTGTTCATTAGGATAAATTTCCACGGAGTAATTAATTCAAAACCAAATTTTCCTTAATTGAAAAATATTTTGGAATGTCTGTGAATATGTAAAGAGGGAAATCGAAAAATTTTTTCCAAAAATTTCGGTATCAAAGAGCACGAGGTTAGACTCAGGGTGGAATCTCCCTCGGCGGAAGCTAGAGTTCCTTATCGATCTGCACGGAGAGGCTGCTCTTTCTACAGTTGCGAGTGGAACGAGAAGTCGCTCTAGGTTGCCCGTACCATCCGAAACCTACTATATATTCCTCCTTCGCTTTGGTTCCGTATACCGTGGATAAGGTTAGGAGCATCGACAGAGCGCCGCCTACTCGAGCGTGACTCCGCAGCCCAAGCCAAGCCTATCAATATTTCCAACCCCCGAGATGCCTTGGCTTGTTTGCCTCTCATTCGTCTCCCATTGAGTTAAGGTACCTCACCCAAAAGAAAAAAAAAAGAAAAAAAAATCCTGAATGAAGTCAAAAATCAGTCTGAGCCAAATGGATTTTTCTACTTCTCTCCGATTCAGGTCAAGTTTTAGTTAAGATTTTAGCACAACCTTTTACATCATTCAAGTGGTTTTTTTCAGCTCGATCTAACTCAGCCTTCCTCTTTTCCGGGTGTCAAATCGCCTCGTCTTCTTGGTACTCGGGGTGAGAAAAAGTATATCTGAGGATGGAGAATCCCGGGATCAAATCCCAGTCCATTAACCCAACGAAAATTTTCAAGAAAAGAAAAACAAAAGGGAAACAAACCGGCCCTCAACAATGTATCCACTGTTACGGAGTTAGAACAAAAGAGTGGAGAAAAGTGGATAAAAAGCTCGGCGGTTAGACTCCGGGACACGGGATTGGACCAGCGGATAAAAAGCTCGGAACTATTAACGTCCAATCTTTGCTTCTTTCAAGCTTGTTTTTCACATTGTTCACAGACTGAAACTCGTCTCCACTCAGTTACGGATCTATATATTACGTTATTTTTCGCTGTGGACCTCTCCATTATCCATCCTCTTCATCCTCTTCATCCTCCTCATCCTCCTCATCCTCCTCATCCTCCTCGGCTCTTGACTCGTTCCGAGCTTGTCTCGCCGTGTGGAATCTCATTCCAAAATTGTCTTACTGCTTATGACGGCGATAACTTATATGGGGTGTGTACCATTAGTTTTTCGCGACGACACTCATCTGAGGGGGGATAATGTATCATCGTAACCGGACGAAATCACGAAGTTCTGGCTTTTTTCCGGACAGTCGAACCATCAGAAGTCCGATAAACAACACTTTTTGCCGTCCGAGAAGGCAGTAATGCAATCATTTATTTGCAATTACTACAATTCCATAATTATCAATTTTCCTCACTAATTATATGGGAATTCAAAATATTTGAAGAACATCGAAACGTCCAGATTGGATAATTAAATAGTAATCGTAACTTATATCTTTGATTTTTTAAGATTTTCCGATGTTTTCCCGTGTTTTTTCATGGAATTGATAATTTAAAAAATATATCAATCTTTAATTAAACATTAAAATTTGACTTATCTGATTTTCCATAAATTCGATCGATAAAAAAATTGAATGATTTCCCTGTTTATAAAAAACTTTAACTATGAAAAATTAAAAAAAAAAACCGACTGCTGCAATGAGGAAAAATATTACATTTGCCAACAATATTTTCTTCGCACCAGTAAATCTGGTCATCAATGTGTAAATATTCCCATAAGACTTATTAATGCCAAATATATTTTGGTGTGGTTAGTAAATATTGTTGACTAAAGAAAATTTTTTTCTCTGTGTGAAAAAGGAAATTTCCAAATTGAAAGGACGTACGAAATGACATATTTTTTTTACAGTGTGCCATGTCGCCAATGAAAATAAAACGTCCTAAGATTCGAAAATCCCCCTGAAAAAGTAAAAATACTCCCAGGAAATAAGAGAGGGCAAACCACTTGGGCTTTAGCCGTAGAGTGGCTCGTCGGATGCTCACGTCCGGATGGAAGAAGTTGGCTCGACTAGATAGGTGAAGGTAGATAGGGTAGGGTAAGTATCCGCGGGGTAAAGTTTTTCCAGGCGATCTCCTCTGCGCCGGATTCAGATCAATACCCCGACATCTGGGTTGCCACGCGGGTAGATTCCGGGGGTGTAGGAGGGAGTGGGTGGAGAAGGGGGGGCGATAGGGGGATCTCGGAGGACTAAAATGCGAGGAACAAGGAGGGTTTCCCAAGCAGATTGGTGGGTGGAGGCGAGAAGAAGGCCGGAGGTGAAGCTACACTCTAATACAGAAGAGGTGGAGTTTACTCGAGCAACAAGCCACCGGCGCGCCGCACCCTGAGCTCCAGCAATCGCACATCGAAACTATATAACGATTGCCTCCAGCAGTAGTCGAAGACACTCGACAACCTGGTGTGTATAGAGTGACGGAGCCGATAAACGCAACCCCATCAGCGCAATCTAGAAGGGCAATTTTCTCGGTCAGATCCCTTGCATTGTCAGTTATTTGCACTTTTCGTTTCGATTGCCGAAGAGCTACGTCTGATCAAGAAGATGTAACAAATCATTATTTTTGGCGTATCCAAGTCACTAGACCATACCGAAACATTTTGATAATGATAATTTTCTTTTGTAAAATTATATTATATAATATATTTATATATTTATATAATTTGTTATTCTCGTTATTATTATTATTTATGAATCAGATTTTTTGAGAATGTGAGAGTTTTTTTTTTTAGTAGAAAACGATTTATCGGATTACACGATTTGAAATTTTCTTGTATCGAGTGAATAATCTTCGTTGAAAGAATATTTTTTCTCTCGGAGCACATCGAACACCTTGATAGTTTTTACACCTCGTAAAGACCATCGAGATTTCACGGATAAGATTGAAATAGCTCGAGATATCTCGGGGGCACTATTTGAACGTTTTATCCCAACACCCTATCAGTGAATTGTAGAAATTAGGGTAGTCGACATATGCTTTCCTCGATCGAGTATCTGAATGAGGGGGTGGAGTGATTAGTTATCGGCTCTTAGGGTGGATCCATCGAGATAAGCTTTCTGATGCTCATGTGCTCCCTCTCTGTTGCTATTTTCATTGACCTTTTGCAGGTTCCTCGGGGAATCCCCCCTCCGATTAATTCAAGTGTTTTTACGTTGTCCGGGCGGGAGCACACTCTAGGGGTGTGAACCTCTCCGGGGAGGGTATTACAGGATATCAGCACCACACAAACTGTACAACTTGCCCCGCGGGAATACAGCCGATGGTGAATGCAACGGAGATAGGGAAACAATTCGGGGACTCCATTGATCTCCACGCATATGTCCTCAGATTTAATCAGTTCTTTCAGGCACATTTTTTTTTTTCATCCACCATCGGGATCTCTTTTTCACTCCTTTCAATATAGAGAATTCTCCCCCTCGTTTTCGGGATAATCCAATCAAGGGTAATGCTTCAGAGTCCACAGACTGGAGTTGCGGTGACGGGGGTCCATTATTGATAATCAGGTGGATTGATTTATAAATACTCTAGCTTTAATTTTTGGATTGTTTTCAATTGCCAGTAGTGGATAAAATTATTGATATGAATTTTTTTTCCCTGTGTACTTCACCCGAAAATTGGTTTTGGTTTCCAAATTCAAATTTCCAAATTCAAACTGGGAAATCGACTTGATTCAAGTCGATCTTCTGCCTTCACAGGTTTTTTCGTGACAGGAAAAAATTACAATTGTAACACTCACCGATTTATCGAAGAGACGGATGGCACGTTGTCCTGGGAGCATATATTTTCCGCCAGCAATCTATCTCTTATCTCCCATGCAAACATCGTGGGATTATCTCTCTTGTAATTAGCAATTGCATCTACTACTGGTGGAGTGGCCACCTTTGGCTTGGATCCACCTATAACTCCGGCTTTGAAACTCCCCGTTTCATAATACCTGAAACAAAGAACATTAATATTTTCAAAACGTCAAATCAAGCTGATTAAAAATATAAATTCAAATCAAACAAAATGACACGAAAATTCCAGAGTCAAATCAAGTTGATTAGACTGGAGTTATACTAATTAAACGATGAATACTCATTTTTTTTTTTTAATACAAAGACTGGCTAAGCAGGACTCGCTAATGAAAGGCAACAACGCAGTCATCGTTGGTAATTAAGTCAATCAGAGAAATCAGGAGGTGAAAGCAAGTGAAATTGAGATAGTAGGCGCTGGTTGCGGATGGAGGAAGATCGAAGCGGGTTGGATCAAGGCAAGAGCCAGCGGTGTATTTGAAAACACATCCAGACATGATGAATCTCAAGTCTTGGCATGAAGCGTCGGGTGTTCTTTGAGATGAGACACCCAGGGTACATAATACTTTACATAGGTTCCAGCGGGAGATGCTATCGGCCGTCGGCCCACCCAGTCAACGAGACCTTTGTGCCTAATTAGTTGAATAATATCTTTGCCAGTGCTTAAATTCAATTACACCCAAACCCCTGGTAATAATGATTCGGTTGCGAGTTTGTTGGCTTGATGGATGGTTGGGCTGGCTCTGAAAGTCCACATTTATTCGCCAGCCATTTCAACACTTTCATACGATAATTTATCCACCGGAATGTGGGAATTTCGAGAATAATCGAACGGATTGAGAGGAAAAAATCGATTGGCCATCGGGGGATGAAGTCGACCGCGAAAGAAATTATTCTTGAGCTCAGTCAGGTCTGGTTATGGATGATTATTACCACTCAACGGAGTAATTCCACTCCCTCGATGAAATTATGGGTAGATCGGGGTGGAAAACCCCACATGCAACCGTTGACACTTCGCCCTCTTTCATTACTACCCACCTTTCAGTGTGAAATATGCTTTCCGATCTGGTGCGGGGAGATTTTTAAATCGTGTGAAGGGTACTATTGACCTGGGGACTTGTTTTATTGTGAAAATCAAATGGCGTAATGTGGGTGGAGGATAACCAGGAGTTTAACTTGAATGGCATAAAAATAACATTAGCACAGAAATTGCCTTGTGCAGTATGTTCGGAATTACTGAATTTATCATTTTGGTTTTTAGTCGAGTGAGAGAACGCGAAAAAATATTATATATTATTATTATTATATAATATTATTATTATATAATATATATTATAATTATAGAGTGAAATGAAAAATCAATTGATGTCCTGAATATTTCCAGACAATATTTTTCATTATTTCTATTTTTCAAGTCCAATTTTTTATAATTTTTGAATTTTCCTATGACGCAAATTCAAATGAAATAATTTGTTGCATAATTGGTATATTGTGTAATTAATTATAATTTTTCTGAAGGATTGAAAAAGTTGAAAATGAAAAATTGGCGAGCCCCTGAAATATAAACCTAAAATACAATGTTACTGCACTCAACACAGATATCAATTCCCAATCTCTCTGTCTCAATAATTGCAGGCATCATTGTCGCACTTGCGGTACATAAAAATCGGCGATCGATAAATCCATACGGCGATGTAAGGCACCCGAATGTGAAATCGCATTGGCCCAGCAGCCCACACATGGGGGTATATCGCGTTCAATTAAAATGTCACAAAAGCTTCCGTCAACTGTTACCGGGAGTAAATAAACCAAAAAGAGGAAGGAAAAAAAAAAAAGGAATTATGAGTCAATTTCAAACAATACTGTCCCCGGACAGAAAAACCTAGTGATGACGATCGCCAAGAGCGGAATTTCGTGTTCATAATTTCAATGAGTGATACCAACCATTTACTAGACTAATTATAATTGTAGTCTGGATGAGTGACGTGCAAAGGGATGGAGTTGGTACAATGGAGAGCCACCGAGGGAAAATTATAACAACGAATCGTTTCTGGATGATGGAGAGGGACAGGGAAGTGAGACGGTGGAGAAAAAAAAAACATGAAAACCGCATCGCGTCGTCTTTGCAACCCCCGGGACTTTCCTTCCGGTTTCCATGGACCCCACAATCGCGTCATCCCTTTCCCTCATCCGCTGGATGGATCACGACAATCTTTGATGCCATCGGCCGCTCAATTCGAGCATTTAATTCCGCTCATTCCCCGGAGAGAAGTTCATGGAAAAAATTCCCCTCAAAAAAATTCCGGAGGAAATAGATTTCAGAAATTATTGCCCCTTGCGAATGTCCAAGACAATTAGGCGAACAGTTTTCATGAAAATTATTAATTATCATTAAGTTCAGGGAAATTTATGTGCTGAATTCTTTCTGAGAGTTAGGAATCAGTCCCTGAGAATGAA